TTCTGTAATATATGATGCATCTTAGTGAATCATATATACCTTAAGGGCTTACCACTGGCCTCCTCTTTTTATAATCTGATAGTTTTCCCTTTAAAGCAAAGAGGAAATCCCAGTCTACCTTTTCTAAAATTCTAACTTAACCTTAAGGTTTAATATTATTATTCTCTCGCACAATTACTGAAGTATATCAGAATAATTATCAGCAGTTCAACTATTACAATTTTTGAACCAAACTTACTTGCATTATCTAGGAACAAATCAAAATAAACTAGACTATTTGAACTGTTCCCAGAAGCAATTATCCATATTTTCCTACCAATTTCTCAGACCACCTTGATATGATTTTGACTAATTAGCATTTGTCAAACACCATTTTGCTATTGTTTGCAGGTTGCTGATCACAGTTCCATGTGTTTGGTACTTTTATTCCAATATAGACATTTTTAGTACATATTCTAATCAACTGTTGTGACAATTTTATTATTACTGTTAGTATCCTATTTGATATAATATATATCATACCTCTACACCAGACATTTTCCTAGTTACTAATATTTAGAATAGAAGTTACCTTATGAATACAAAAGTTATTTGAAAATATTTTCTTATTTCCTTGTTTATGCCCAGCTACAAATGATTGCATCAGTATAGCTGTTGGAAGTGAATTTATCTTTCAGCTCACATTCCAGTATCTTGATTAAGGAGGATTTGCTAGCATGTGGTATATTCACTCATGGGTAAATTATGGTTGTTCACTTCTTTCTTACCCTGACCCACAAGATTTAAGTTAGCAGCAAAGCATTTGACTTTTATGTCTTATCATGCCACATTATTTTAATACCATGCAACAATTTCTGCAAGTAAAAGGATACATTCCTCCTCTTGAAAATAGGTCTCAGCTATCTGCAAAAGTGAAAAAAAAATTAAGAATTTATGTGGTAAGGATGTAATATAAACTTTTTATCATAGTTTTAATCATATAGTTTGCAGGGTCCCATTTAGTTTGGGTAAAATATGAATCTTCTGACAAAATACATGCATTCATATTCTAGGGGAAAGACCAAAGAAATTTTAAGTCCTCTCACACAAAACAGATTCACCCAAATCTTAGTAGGGTTTTATGTTGCTGCAACTATAAAAAATTTTTCAGCAACATTTTTAGTTATCTTAATAGAAAGCTTTAAAATGACCTACAACAGAAACACATTCTTTACTGATACAAGTTCAAAAGCCTGAATTCTGTGCCTGACCAATGTTTCCTTATCTTTGATAAAATTAAGATTATTGCTGCGCTCTCCTGACTGCAACGTGTTAAAACAGAAATGGAGGTTTCCTGACTGATGAGAAAAGAACAGTCTTTTGTCTCCCTGGAGACAAAAAATATTTGAGAATTGCAACAATAACTTATTTGTGCTTGTTACAAAACTGTGCAGGCTTTCCTAGAAAGCTGAGGAATACTAACATCTTTATTTGTAAATGCAATGAAATACAAAAAATATAAACCTCAGAAGTATTCCACAGAGCTCTACACTACCAGTGACCTTTACAAGCAGCAACTAATCAGTCCTCGGGGACAGCGGATTTGGGCAGTCTTCCTATTTGCCATGTGTGGTGACGCAAGGCCAGAGCTTGCAAAACGTGTCCAAGAACTGCAGGTACCGTGACACCAGAACATTCGGGTTGATGAATAGTAGATGACTCCCCAATGACTTCTGGGGGAGCACTCAAAAACTCAGTCTCAAAATCTTTGGGACATATCGATTTAAGCAGTCATAATCTTGAGGGCTTAAATAAGCACTTTTGTAGAAGTCTGAAGATGATTGCTCAAAAAAACCAGCAACTTGATAGAGGAGCCTAGATTACAAATTGTATTTCCTGGCTCTCAGCCTTTCTACTAACCACTAGACCATTCTGAGCCCAGTACCTTTGAAAGAGAATCGGTGACTTTTAATGTTCTTTATCTGCACATTTTGTCGGCTGTCCACAATAGCCTCCTAAGAATTTTTGGAGCTGCCAAAGCTCTACCTATGTTTATATATAAAAATACTTCTTAGACTCTGTAATAAGTCTTAAACAAATCAAATTAATCCCATTCAAGATAGGGAAAAAATTACATCCTATTTTAATTAGAAGTTGACTCTTAGAATAACCCCTGTTATCCAACAATCTTTAAATATTCAATACAGGCTTCCCACAAACACCATGGATTGTTAATACTCCAGAACATCTGACACAGCTCTTGATTTTACACTGAATTTTGTCATAGAGAATAGAAAGAGAATGTGATGGAAGAGTATTTGCTAGGCTTGGTTTAATGGTACTGTCAGGCTGTATTAGCAATCTGAATAAAAAAAAATAGACTGAAGATGACAGGTTAATTCACTAGAAAGGGAAAATATTCTTAAGAGACTCACTTTCAGGAATGCTAAACTTAAAATCCTTCCCCCTCCTATCCTCAATTCAAAAAAACAGGTTACGATCCTTTTAAAGTCCATTAGCTTTCTTTCAAGCACTCCCTTCAAAATGCTTGATAATTTTTAGGAAAAAAGAAATAGTGTTTGAATACTTTTCAATCTGAATATACAGATTCTGTTCTCAGTTCTGTCACAGTTCTGGTATGACTTTCAAAAGGTTCTTCCCCTTAGTGTTTGGCTTCCTCATCTAAAAAGCAACAGATTTCACCTCCATCATGTGCAATTGATTTCCTTGATGTTTGTAAAGCATTTTAAGTTTTTGCCCTATCTTGTTTTCCAAAAATGACCTGTGTACTGACTCATGAACAACCACCAAATCTGATGAGGCTTAAAAGTACAAATTGACAACCCTAAAGCTAAGCTTCTTGTAAGTTAAGGGACAGTATCAAATATCTTAACCATGGATTAGAAAAAATGATTTAAAATTCTGTGTCAAATGTAGATTATCTCTAATATGCTAGCCTAAAGAGAAACCACTTTCTCCCATATAATCTCTTATTTGTGTCAAAGAAGAAGAATGCAGGAATGTCATTGCAGTTTAGAAATTTAAAATACCTTTCAAAATAAAGACAATGCATCTGAGTCAAATCAGGCAGGTATAGTATCTACATATGGCCCATATTAGACACCACAGCCAAGCAAAAGGTCTTCTAGTCTGCTCTTAGTCAGACACAACTAAACAGTATTAATTTACAGTTTAGTAAATTAATCATCATAGCATCAAATTCTATTCACATATTTTTCTTCATCATAACCTCCAGAAGAAAAAGAAACATACTGACCAGTTTGTAAGAAAGATTGTATTTCAAACCACAGTTTTTCCTTTGGTCTTGCAGGTGTGGCAAGCATGCTTATATAAAGGTATACACTAATAAAACCTCTAATCCTATTATTCATGCATAAAATTTATGCTAAAAAGACGTCTGCAGCAGTAAAAACAATTCCAGATTTAAAATATTATTTATGGATCTACTGTCCTGTAACTATACCAGTGTCTTGCAAACTTTATTCAAGGTATATATTAAATATATATATATATGACTGATTATATATTAAATATATATTTATATAGTACTGAGAAATACATATATAATATAAACATATATTAATATATAATATTAATTATATATTATTAAAGAGCTATTTTCGCAAATCTTCCTGCCAAACTAATTTCACCATTTGAGGAATTAGAAATCCATCCTTAAGAGCTTCCTTTAACTACAGAATATACTTACAAGGCAATTTATAGTTTAACAAATATTAGAGGATCTTAGAGAAGATATTTGCCTTGACCATCTGTTATGCATCAAAATATCCTATATATCATATTCTAAATATCATATAGATATGAATATTGGCATAAATCACATTTATGCATATTTTTCCTAATAAACAAAGGTCTCAAATAAAAATAAAATTTGGTGCAGCACCCCAAAATCACAGAAAGTACCTGATGGAGACACAGTGGCAATATCTTTGAATCCATCTGCTCAACCTCTTCACGGAGCAACGAGAAAAGAGACTGCAACGTTTGCTTTTGGTCTTTTGGATGAAAGTTTTCCTTTGTTTCAACAGCACCTTCAGCCTCCACAAAATCTGTATCTGTAACAAGAGTATTTTCCTCCTGGATGGATGTGGTTCCCATTTTAGAAACACCTTTAAAGAGGGCAAGCACTTAGGTTAGGATTCCAAAAAATACTTGGAGTTGCTTTTTTTAGGAAATTTAATATGAATGTTACGAATAAAAACCTAGTATGTTAAATAACACTGCTGCTAAACTAAATACTGGTCTTGTCAAAATGAGTTGTGACAGGTCTGTCTCACTGTCAGCTCACCTACCCAACAGAACACAGTAACATACATCAGATATATCTGTACACTTCTAACTGGGACCCTGCTTTAATTTATGGGGAAAAAAATCAATGTAGAAAGTGTTATACAGAATTATTAATAAGAGACCAGGATGACCTAAAAGCACTTAGAATGCAGTTTTGTTCAAAAAGGGCAAATAGCAAGTAGTATGAATGAGGTTCTCAGTTTGCTTCTTCCAAGAACCTCATAGAAAGAGTTGTCCTGGTGATGGACAGACACTAGGGTCCATTTTTCAGATGATAACACAGTGGCTCCTCACAGTGACAGCAGGATCTTAAAGGATAGAAAGAAGCAGATGATGACAGTGTGGGATTCTATTTTCTATTGTAGGCAAGAGATGTCTAAGGGGACCGTCCTGCTGAGTGAAAAGGAAGACTCCTCTATATAGTTGGATAGTTTGAGCATCCAGGGAAAGAGGCAGTAGTGCTGATCTATGCTGGTAACAATGACACAAGGCTGTGTACACTGGATTTAGATCCCAGAACTTCTTGCTAGACAGAAAACTAGGTTTGCCATGGTACATTTCTTAGCAGTTCACATTGCCTGTCTCCAGTTTTACAGAAGTCAAAAAAAGTCTGGCCTCCAGGTGGAGTTCTGAAGAATAATGTAAAGCATAACACTGTAAGAATATTACAGGAAGAAACTTTCTGGGTGTAAATCCCTCATTTTCTTGGTAGAACTGCAAAACTTGTTATGTATTTTGATCATTAATATGATAGTTATGAGAAAATGTTACATGAGATTAAGAAAGAAGTGCAGAGTAGTAGTAGTGACAGCAGTAGTGGGAGAAATCAACTACCCATATACTGACTGGATCAGTCTCTCACAAAGACCAATGAATTACAGCTTCCTATAAAACAGTGTTAGGAACAACCAGAAAACTACAGCTGATTCCAACAGTTAATAAACTCCTTTTTATTTCTCCATAAAACATTGAATTTCACACACTTGCATAAGACCGAACTTAAAAAAAACCTCAAAATTATTTAAAACAATTTAGAAAATTTGGCAACAGAAATGTGCACCATAAACTTTTAATAAACTCAAATTATGATAAGTATTGTTCCCCAGTTACACCCATTTTCTGAAAATCATGTTATCATCTGGAAGATGGACAGCTGAGGGCACTGTTTCAAGTATCTTTGTGTCTTCAGCTTGGGCACTTGGTTTCAGACCCCTTTGCTTTCATTGCCACTGAAACCCAATAATGATGACTCAGGTTTAAGATTTAGGACCTAAGAAAGGAATTAGCTTGTCCATGGAAGGCTCCACTATTTCACTTTTGATTATTTTAAACTCTTTATTTAGTAAACTATCCAGGTTAGGACTACTAATAATCTCTGCGGGTGGCTATTTTCACAGGGCTTACTGCCAGAAAAAATATGGGTGTAACTTAAAATTGCTTTTTCAAAATTAATGCATATCTCTGAGCTTCCGGTATTTATTTGGGCTTCCTGTGGGCCAAAGGCAATAAGGGACACAACTGGATGAAAGATACAAACCAGGAAATATTTCTAGAGATAGAATTAAGGCTGACTTTAAAAATACAGCTTCCTGTTTAGCACATTATTATGAAACCAGAAAAAAGGATCCTCATGTTCTGGCAAATCTTTTCTCTCAGAAAAACAAATGAAGAAACAAAACATCACTTCAAGCTACACTTTATTAAGCAGTTAATAATCACCTGTCATATCAAAACATGAACACTGACTGCAACGTGCTCAATAAATTATCATGAAAAATCTTCATTTTAATTGGTTCATGATATGGTTGCTAACATGTAGTTTATAAACTGCATTATTATTTGTACATACAGGTGAGCTGTCACTTGGAATCAAATTTTGCCATCAAATTTCTTCCCTGGTTTTGAAAGTGAAGCCTTACAGTTATATGGGTTAATTCTAACTTGTTTGATTTTCAACACAAGGCAGTATTTGTGCCTTAATAGCACTACAACAAAGAACTTTTACTGTATTACTTAGTAATGCTATTTCATCATAAAGATGTGAAGGACTAGGATCCCTATTTATTTTTTCTCCCTACTCTTGGAAACAGTGCACTACTTTTTCCAGGAATCAAACAATCTTAATGTCCAAAGCAGACTTTTTTTTTTTCTTCACTACATACAGGTATCTTACATATATTTCTGATTTTTTGAATATGGAAGGATTACAGTTTTTCACTTTATAAAACACTGATATTTACTCCACCACTGAATGAAGCCAAAGCCTTTATGAAAATGTATGCAAAAAGACACAGAAGACATCAGTGGCCAGGACACTCAGCAGGCCCATGGCAAAGAGCTGTGTTCAAGCTTTTGCTCTGCCAGGCTCACAAATGTTTAACTGACCCCTTCTATGCCCAGCTAGGTGTGCCAATGTTCCCCAAGACAGGAGGAGAAGCAAACTTTCTCCCAATTTCCCCAACAGCTCATAGAAGCAGCCCCATGTTTGCCTAAAAATCATCAAATTTTGACACACTTTGTGAATAAAACCCCACATTTTTCATTATATCTCAAGTTTTTCTCTTTGTCAGTACTGAAAGAATATGAAATTAAGATGCTTTGTTACCTGCCTGAGAATGAATCCAAGGTGTAAGTATGAGGGATTTGCTATCAAAATAAAATTATGGATGTTGCCCTCTGTTTTTTATGTGAATTTTAATTTTCACATGCAGTAGCACTAGCCTAAGCCATCAGTAACAGAAGTTGCTAGTACAGAAAACATATGGCCATCTCTTTTTTTAAACATTCTTTGGTACCCAATACAGAAAGCTGTTTCAGACTTATTCATTCAAGAACTATTGAGGAAAAAATACCAGCAAGTATTTAAAACCTATTTATTTTTAAGAGAAGAGATTTTGAGACAAAAGTCTTGGTGGTAAAGATATAATTTTAACTGAGCAAGCCGAAAATCCTGCTTAGATTGGTACAGAATGCTAAATAAAATAACATTACTTGAATTTTCATGTAATTTGACTATCTTATATTCATGTTTTATTTGTTTCAAGACCAATTCCATCCAAAACACTTTCTTCCTTCCTCCACCTTCAAGCTGCTTTAGGAAATAAGTGGAATAATTTACAGAAAAAGCATATGTTGTAGAATCTAACTTGGGGAAAAAAGATTGAGTGCAGGTTACCATTCTTTACCAGGTTAAGGAATCATATAATGATTTTACAATATTATGTTATGCCATTTGAAAAAAGATGAACTTATTTTCAGAGAACATGGATAATTTGAAGTCCATGTTTACAAAATTATATCGAAACAGATTAAACTTGATTAATCACTAGCTCTACCACTCCAAAGTTAGTACAACTCTTTACAAGGAGTAACATTATGAATAATCACTAAAGTTTAAATTCTTCAGTTAAAATGTACATCAATTCTTTGGTCACTAGTCCTCCCTAACCAGATATAATCATTGTACATTCAAAGCTATGATGAGTAAACAAAAATAATGTGAGAAAAAACTGGGATCTAGAAGCTATAGACTTGTCAATCCACTCTAAATCTCCTACAGCATCAAGAAGGCTAAAAGGAGGTGCTTCATTGAACAAAAAACAGATGAAATCCTGGAACTTCTTACTCCAGGACACTGAAATGGATGCAAAAAGCGACTGTAAGTCAGGTGACAAATTCACTCTGAAGTATTACAGTCTATCAGTTTCCACTTGGGGAAGTCCTGAGATTACTGCAGATGGGGAGCAGAACATGCGAACAAATAACTCCATGTTTGCCTTGCCCTTGTACTCTCACCTACAAATCCTCTGTGGCCTCTGTCAGGGGAAGAATATTGAACCAGAAGGGTCTTCAACCAGACACAATGACTTAAACTTGCATTCGAGTCTACTAATAGTAGAAGCTAGGATAATTTTAGCTTCAAGAAATCCCAAGCATATACAGACAGATAATAATCAAACTTATTACTGTTTATTCTTTAAAATCAACTAGAGGATTTCAAACACATTGCAAGTATAAGTATTCGCTCTTTCTTCTGAAGCAAAAACATGTTGAGAGCGAAAGATTGGCTTCTCTAATGTTCGCCAATATTCTGCTGAGCAAGTCACAAGTAAACAAAAATGACTAAAATGTAATTTTCCATATTCCACATAAATTTCTTTAGTCACTAGCAAGAAGAGGAATATGAAAATTACGCTCTTTAAGACAAACGTCATCTTTTCTAGAATGACAACATCTAACAGCAATCCTAGCAGGTGTGCTTATAGGGAAAAAGATTCATAAATCTCTTCCTTAGTTATGAGTCAAAGTAACTCATCCATGATTTTTCAACAGTTTAAAATATTTTTTTTAAAAAATTGCAACAACAGATGCCATGCAAGTATTTAGTCTGATATTTCAGCTTGCTTATGTGGTGCTCTGCTGTCACCCACTCTGGAATCTTCCACTCTAGTATGATTATTCTCTCCTTTAACTCCGAGTTGGTATAAAGACAAGAAAGCTGGTTTGGACCTTTAACGTAGAGGGTGTAGTGGGATATTCAGGAATCATTTAAAATAGCTGGCGCTGAAAATTAAAATTAGATTGCCACTAAAATAATGACATTTGCAACATCACGAAATTGTGACAGAATCAATTGCATTTTGTGAGAACAGAAGAATCATCATATGGGAGTATCAAAAAAGCTAAATGCATATTAGCTCATAAGCAATGGGAGATATAATGCAATTTTATATTTTCACCTTCCTTTCTAACAATCAAGGTTCTTTAATAATAAAGTAACAAGAGTTTATTCCTAAGAATTCAACAAAACTCTTTAGAGTTTTGCAAGCAGGATGTTCTCTGGTGTGGTTTTTCACATTGCCTGTTTTTTCCATGAAATTTTCTAATTTTTCAGGATTCTGCTCTTCATCTTGAAACTTCAATCTACTGTGGACAGCTTGTTTTGTGGTACTTCTGCATCAGTTCATTTCATTTATCAACAAGAATACAAACTAATGGAGAAAGAATACAAACTAAATTTAACTTAGTTTAAGAGTTTAACAGTGTTTAGGTGAGTTTTTTCCTTCTCTTCCTCTTATTGTGCTTCAGATGCCTCTGTCAACATGTTCATGTATGAACATAACTTCTCATCAACTTGTTTTTTGTTATTTCCATCATACAGATGAGTGGTTCTCAATTACTTCTGCCAATCTCATTTTAATTATTTTATTCTATTATTAAAACTTAAATCTACAGATGAAATATATATACTTATTAAGTGCTGAAGAAAGTTATTGAGAAATAGTTCTCCCTGTAATGACAGATTTCAGAGTGCTCTTATGTCTATTAGAAAATATAATTTTTCTTTTCTAGATTTTGCCTATTTGTGCAAGATACAGAATGCAAGGCTTCCTTTCTTTCCTGTCTTTATCTATTCTATAATCCCTTAAAATCATAATCAGTTTTCAGATTAGGTCATAAAAGACTTGGCATTCATGAGGAAAATTGTATTTTAAAATTATTTAGTTTAAAATGTATGGGGAAAAAAAGCACACGTGAATCAGCTGTTCTTTCAAAGAAACCTATGCATGAAACATACTGATTTTAATTAGTATGTACAGCCCTATGACACACAAGCTTTAGGATGTATGACAAAAACCTAATGTAACATGTTATGTTACACTAAATCCTACTCCTTCAACATGGGAAGAAGGATCTCAAATAAGAACATGCAATAAACATTACATTTTCCTTATTCAAATCATATCCAAAATATCTAAAGAAAAAGTAACATCAAAAATTGTTAAGGACACGTTTTTTAACACTTTGTTACCCAAAACACACAACCTAGGATGATCTGGTAAGATTTGAAAAATGTAAGTAAATTTTAGAACAGCAGGGATTAAGCCATTTGGTACTCCTAACAAGATTTCAAATGTTGACATGGGATCAAGACACCAAAATCTGGCACTTGACTATGATGTTCAAATGAACAAAACCATAATTCCAGAATTCCTGTCTATTTTGATTTGGAAGCCAGCTCAATTTCCATACTAACACTGTGTACCTCCCTCTACTCCTGTTTACTTGATGTGTTGCATTTGCTACTTTGTTGTTTAAATACAAAAGGTGAAAACGTGTAGAGTTGAATCTGATTGAAGACTATTAGCTGTCCTGGAAAAAAAAAAATTAAACAAACCAAAACCCACCAAACCTTTAGTGAAATGCTAAAAATAATTAGTACAATACCTAAAATATATTTCTTATTACCTCACAGATTTAAACTACAGTGTTACTTCTGAAGTAAACAAAAGAAAAAAAATAAATTAAGTACCTTTAGATTTTTTACTGGAGCTTCTTTTGCTTCTTGGACTTCTTTTTCCACTGGGCTGTTTTTCAGTAATAGGCTTTTCCTCCATATGGACATTTACAGATCTCCTCTCAGTCTCACTTTCCTTACAGCTTTGGATCCAGTCTCCACTGTCTGTGTTCTCATTATTATTGATGTTATCCTGTTCACCTTTATCCTGCCCCATAGCAATGTTACTACTGGTCAGAACTTCATTTCCATCACTGTCAAGTTGATTTTCATTTTCATCAGCTGAAGGAATCAAATGAGATGCCAAACCTCCTACCCTATAGTTAGCAGGAAGACTGCCCTTTGAGTCTATTTGCAGATCATTTGGTGGAAAGTCTCTGTCATCCATTAGAGCGTTAGTTGTTGAGCCACTTAATCTCCCTCCAGGTATTTTTAAACCTAAAATATAAAATGGAACAAAGCATTTATAATATGTATAGTCTAATAGATAAATAATGTCAGCCAGTGTCAGCCAATAAAGATTCACATTAGCCAATATACAGAGCTTAAAAGTATGGGGAATTTGTTTCATTCAATGACCCATTTAAAGTCTTAATGCAGGGGATATTTACATAAAAAAAAAACTATGAAGTTGTATTTTTATCCAGTTGTAATTGTTCCAGTTACCTGAGCAAAAGCAACAACTGATCTTTACAGCAGTGTTCCTGCTGTTACAGCTGAGGTAATGAGAAAAACAAAAAGATAAACAGAAGCCACCTCATGTCCATCGTGTCCTTCCCCCCCCGCCTTTTAAATCCATGGCTAAAACAAAAGCATTCTTGTCACATAAGATCATAGTTTGCCTGAAATAAAAATAAACCAGGGAGGAATAAAAGTAGAACAACTTTTAATTCTGTCAGTGATAGTATCAGATTAAACTTGCAGATAAATTAACTGTGTTATCAGAATTAGATGGAAGTAGAACCTGCTTATTGCCTCAATTGTCACATTATTTTCAAGAAAACATTCAACATGTCTTCAGTATACACAGAAGCAGATGGTTTGCTGATAAAAAACCTAAACCCCCAACTACTCTCAGCAGGAGTCAACTTTCCCTTTTTGTGAAGATGCATCTCCAATCAATGCTGCAATTAGACACATTAACACAGTAACTTAGCAGAAGACCTACATGTTGCAGGACCACTGTTGTATCAGTTCCTGTCTTTAGCCTTTAGAAGCACAGCAACACTGCTGCTTAATTTAGCAACCATATACCTGAAATACAGCTCCATTATGTACATCTCACTAGATTTAGCTCACGTTTTAAATAGTGAAGCCAAGAATCAGCAAGCACTCTTGTATTATAGAAGAGCTTAGGTAAGCCTCCTACAGCAGCTTCCTATACTTTCCTTTAAATGAAAACACATTTTAGGATACTTGTTTTCACCAGGCTTTCTTAACTCTTGGTATACACAAGTTGAGTAAATGAAATACACACTTGCTAAGTACGCAAGATAATCTTTCATTTTACTTGCTAGAAGAACTAAAATTGCAGAAAAATGGAAAGAATTCAAAAGAATAAGCAGGCCTTCCTTCATACATAGAAATGTATTTCTGACAATGATTACTAAAGAGATTTTCCCCAAATTATTCCATCATAAACTTCATAGTTGCTGAAGGGACTGAGAAAAAAAAAAAAAAAAAGAAAACACAATTCCTATTTTAGGCACAAGAAGGAGGATTTAGGGAGCTAGAGGCTGCTCTGCCTCACCTCAATCCTTGGAAGGTAATACAGCAAGTTAGCCCAGTAAGCATTTTCAAACATCTGAAGGATAAGAAGGTCATCAAGCACAGTCAGCATGTATTTATGATGGGTAAGTTGCGCTTCTACAAAACACTGACTCGCTCAGCAGAGGAAGTGGGAATAATGGAAGTGATTTACCGTGACTGCAGTAAGGCTTTCGATACTGTCTCCAATAACAAATGCTCACAGACGAGCACACAAAGTACAGGCCTGATTAAATAGCTGGTGCACACAGGGCAACAAGCCACCATCAGCTGGGCAATACAAACCCAAAAGGCAGCACCACCCTGGACAACTCCATCTCTGCTTCCAACCTGAAGAACTGGCTAACCACTTCCAGCCATACCAGTCTAACAAAAATTACTGCCTACCCTTAAACATATAAGCAGCACCAGGAAAGGTTAGACTGGACATTAGGAAGCATTTCTTTACTAAGGGTGTGGTCAAACACTGGAACAGGCTTTCTAGAGAGGTGGTCAATGCGCCAAGCCTGTCTAAGAGGCATTTGGACAATGCTCTTTACAACACACTTGAACTTTTGGTCAGCCCTGAGCTGCTAAGGCAGTTGGACAAGATGATAACTGTAGGTCCCTTCCAATGGAAATATTCTATACTAGTTTAGAAGAATTATGTACTGTACATTAGAGATGAAAGGTGCATTTTCCTTTGGTACCCACATTAGATGATAATTGGTTTTCCTTGAGCACCAGAAAGACAAAGCATACTCAAGAGGAGATACTGAGGACTTATCTGGCACCTGTTCACTAGAAGGATGCTGCTTAATCAATCCATTTTCTCTCAAAGAGAGTTAAACACAAAATGAAAGCTTAAGAGGAGGACAGAACTTTAATCAGACCAGAAAGAATCAGAACTAGAACCAGATATTTTTAGACACCCACGCTACAGTTATGTTGATTTACTGATACCTGTTCTAAAGTGCTAAAAAAACTCCCAAACACAGTATTATATTTGAAAGGTTCACTTTTTAGTCTTTCTGCCACATGAAATAATGACTGCTTCTTTCCCCAGCTCATAGATCAAATGATACATCAAAAGAGGTTGAAGTAAATTGCCCAAACCCAATGAGAAATTAGTTTTAACAGCAATAATTAAAAACCAGGATGTCCTACCACCACTGTCTTGCTTCTATCCATAGAGAACAGTTTATCCTTTCAATGGCCAGCAAAGGGAAAGAGAAATACAAATGCATTTGAATAAGGTGTTTCCTATTTGATTGTGAAAAATGAGAAAAGATGCTTCTGACAAGTGATATTTGCTGTAGAGGAAGCTAACATTCTGATGGAAAATGTTAACTCACTTCCTTTGAACATTTGGCAAAAACGATAGTCCCTCCGTAGCTGAGAAGCGGGAAAGAACAAAATTTCTTGGTTTATTTCTTGAAACTCAGTATTTCTCCAAATAAAAGTAGCCCTGAAAATCTATTCCTTTCTACAACCCTTAGGACTCCTTAGAGAATAAAAACCCCAAAAGAGCTAGTTCAAAGAATTTAGAACAGTCTTGCCCTTGATCTTTTAGATGGATTTCCTCTCCATCCAGATGAAACTTTTTACCTTCTTGATTTTCAATGTTGCTATTTGCAATTCCTTTTGAGTTCACCAAGGCACTAGGCAGGTATCAAAGTGAATCTAAATCCTGTGAGAATGAAAAACACAAGTAGAAACACTTATTTATAAACAAAAATTAAATTAAAATCCCTTGTGATTTAAACTATATTTAAAAGACCATTAACATGCGGTTCCTGTATTTACTGTTTTGCCACTGAAATGAATTGTAAACATAAGCAACATGTTAATTAAAAATGTTTGTTTCTTCAAAGGCCCATCTTTCCTCCCTTCACTGGTTGCCCAAAATTGAAATAAAAGCTAATACTGAGTAGAACTGTGCTGACCTTTGTTAAAAGGTACTGATGAATAAAAGTGATTCAGTTGCCACACAGATTCATGCAATTGGCACATGTCATCATGATGATTATAGCACAAATGAAAAATAAAATGGAAAATACTTGCCAAGTGGCTAAAAGATAAAGTCTGTATTGAGGAAATTACTTTTATGTTTGTTTGCTTTGGACAAAGTATTACATATTGCTTGTATTTTAGGTCAAGTTCAGTTTTAAAATCAGTGTTCTCTTTCATGTACTTCATACAACTTAATATAATTTTGACAACTTTTTCAGTTGCTTACTTTTTTCCATCTATCCTTACTATAGAAACATAACCTTAAATATAGCTGTTTGGAAAAAAAAAAAAATGTAGTAAGAAATGGGATCATTCCTGAGCTGGCGTGGATAAAATTTGAAGAGGGCATTAAAAACAAAACAAAACCACAAACACCACCAGGCCTCTTAAACTTTCATATTAACTCAGCCCCTCTATCCTGGACAGCTGGTGGGCTCTGTGAATGTTTACTGAACGTATAGTGTAGTATTTAATTTACTGATCTTGGACGTAACTTACAGAACAATCCAGACTAAAACATTGTTTCTTCTAACAAAGTTAAAAAGAAGTTTACATCGAATTGTTTTTCTATTCCATTTGATTGCCTTCATATAGCTCCTCTGCCAAAGACACTATTCTAAATCTCTTTAATAAACACGAAAAATTAAGTCTTTTAAATCTTTGAAAGTCAGCTTCCCCACTATATCACCAACACTGCTCTATTCAAAATGAATGGGCATTTCAGATTGGTTCCCAGTGTTGCTTCTATGCAATATTTTCATTAACTTTGATGATAAACCACAATAGTGGAATATAGTCTGCAGTTAGAAGCAGTTACAGCATTGTTGAGGATTTAATTCAAAATTAATTGTAGCAATAAGTGCTCCAAAAGGAATAACATAAAATTCACTAACACAAAGAGAATATCCCCAAATTTTTAGAATAAATAAAGCACATCTATCTGAAATACGGATCAACCAGTCATTTTGTTATGATGAAAAGCATCATACCAAACATACCAAAAGAAAGCAGACCACGAGTCCAAGCTTTCTTTTTCTCCTGAGATATAATACAGCAAGTGTTACAGGCACAAGAGAATTCATTATGTTCTACCAGGCACTAATTAATTACAATCGTGTGGGGTTTTTTTGTGCACAATATTCACAGAACAAGACATACACAAGAGAACCTGGATCCCAGCAAGGTAAGAATTTTAGAAAGGAAGGGTCAGCACTACATCTGGCAATAGCAGCTCAGTCTAAAAAAGGTTGCTATGTAAACAACCAAACAGGCTGTCTATTGTGAGATGTTGTGGAATCCACATCATTTTAAAGAAGAAATTTCGCAAGTCTCAGGTTTAAGGATAGGTAAAAAATAGGCACTAACTAGTATTAAAGGAATTTAGTTTTCTTTATTGTTGCTGAGGTTTTAGTATTTTCAGCCCCCCTGCTGTTTACTTAAGTACAAGCAGCTTTACAAGTCCTACAGCAAAAAAACCCAAAACTGATTCCACGAAAATGAAACAAGTATTTTTAAAAATCATTATGTTTACAGAGTTGGTGCTTCTACCATTAGAACAAAAAGAGGAAAACTGTAGAAACACTGAAATTTAAAGAATAACTAAACCTAATCCACATACTTCTTAAGAATAAATGTGTTGATCTTTCTGACAGCTGGTGTGAAGATACCACCATTTAAATATTATCTTGTGATGTATCTTTTTTCATACTGATAAATAATCTTCTACAAATTAATGAAAACCAATGTGAAAATTATCAGGGCCAAACAGAAAAAAAACATATACTAGAAATTTTTCTTGCTGTCCGTTAACATGCCCACAGAAGGAGAAAGGTTGATCTCATTTTATGAACATTTATATTTAATACCAAAATGAAGATTCAGTGACGGGGGAAACTGTTAAATGACACAGTATCTACATGACACTACGTAAAAACTACATACAACATAGCATTTTGAGTTCATTAGCTTGCAAGAAAAAGGACAATGTCTACTATGCTGTTACAGGAGCTAATAAACAAAGAGAACATATGTTCTTTAGAGAAGTGCAAATGTAACTTCTACAAAACAGTTTGCTTCTTCACCTAATATGGAAGCCAAGACACACCTAAAGAAGCCAGGAATGTTATCAGCAGAATGCCCTTGCCTCACCACAACCAAGAAAATTACTAGTTGCTGAAGATGTACTTGACCATCACAGAATTTGCCATAGAAAGACAGACAGCAGACAAAGGTGATAGGCAATTCATGTAGCTCTAATCATCTCACAAAGCCAGACCAATTCCAGCTAACAGAATTCTTCTCTGCATTGTGTTTTATGTGAAACACAATGGTTGGAATGCTGCTGTTTCTAAAGGAAGGGAAAGAAAGATATTCATATGTATACTTCCATTATCCAAGCTGACACCTCTGCAGAAAAAAGCACCCCCATGCTGTTGTGCCTTCTTATACCATGGACTCACTGGTAGTTTATAACTTCAAAAAGATAGACTAATGTACAACCCCTTTACTGGACAGCCTCACCATGAGAGAATCTCAATATCCTCCTGACTGCTCAGCTTGCCCTGTTTGGCTTTGAAAAAAATGTACTAGCGGTAAAAATATCTTTCTACATGCTTTCTGCTTCTGTCAGATACACAGATTAAGAGATCTGTTTTTTCAAATGTGTTAAGTCTGCTGTCCTTCAAGAAGTATTCAGATACAGGAGCGGTTTATCTAATTTCACTGAATTTATGAAAATGTCTGAGCATGAACACTTTGGTGGTTTGGTACTTTCTGACATTGAAGTGACATTTCTCAAGTGGCAGTGGCATTTAAAGGCACAATGATCTTCACATCTATAAACAGCAGGAATAGTGAGGTTTAAAGAGGAAGTTCCACATACTATTTTCAACTTCTAAGCTTCCTAGTCATACTGCTTATTCACAGTTTTAATAAACAATGATAAACATACTGCCAGGCATAATCTACTATTCCACATTTCGCATTACTTTAAAAATATGTTTCAGTCATGTAGCCAAATGCAAGAGGTTTGTCTGTCTTAGTAGAACATATGACAGTTCTGTCAAAAATTTCACATAAACAACCTATTTGTCAGCACTCAAAATACACAATGATGAGTCCCCAAGTGTCTGAAAAGTTTTGGGTTTCAAGCTTCACTAGAACAAATTTGACTGAATGTTACAAGAACAAAAAGCAGCCTCACCATTTGAAGTGTTCCATTTTTTTTTCTTTTCTGCAACAAAACACCAGAACATATCCTGGGTAATGGTAGAAAAGGCAGTAGACAAGACTGCTCTAGGAGAATGGAGAACTCTCATCATTTGAGCTCTTTTGTAAACAGTCTAGACAAATGTTGGTCAGGAATAACCTATGAGTAACTGGGCTTGCCTTGGGATACAAAAACATCCTTTCAAGTCTTCTGAAAAGTAGTAATTTGCCTTTTTTGATGTTTTCATTTTCCCTCTGATTGAAGCACTCCCGGATTTTTGTTATACTTCAAGACATGTGCACAAGTTTGATTACAAAGCATAATAACTACTAATCTAATTTATGCGTCTTTCATAGGATAGGTACTTTTTCTTTACAGGGGAAAAAAAAAAAAAAAGTTCTGCAAATCCACAGACTATATTTATGAGAATTAATCAGCTTAATGCACTTTTATCCAAATCTTTAATTTCCAAGGACCTGAGAAAGCTGTCGGATCCTACCATCTCATAAAAGGTTGCTAAAAAACATATAAAATATCTCATGATTTCAGGTAACCATTTTCAACATATATGAAAAAACAGAAATGACAGAACAGATCCCTTGAAATGGAGATGCAAGAAGAATGAGGCAATTATCTAAAAGTTGCCCAACTGAAGAAAGAAGAGTGTTCAAGACTTTCTGAGAATTAAATTTCATAGTGAGACTGAATTCCATATTTTTTTATTATTGATGTGGGACAAGCAAGTTTTATAGCTCTCATCAACACACAGAAATTAGTATAATAAAAATATTCAGTAAGCTCCTAAATTATATCAAGGCCAGTAGCAAACATAAGTAGAATGGAAAGCTGTCCATGAAAGTTATGAAACAATTCTTGTCCATACGTATTACATACTTGCGGTCCCTCTGTTACCAAGCTTGCAGGTTGAACCAGAAGGTTAATTAAGAACAGAGCTAATTGTTAGAGCCTCAGTAACTGACATAATTAGAAAATCAGAATATCCACCAGCTCTACTAAAAATCTTGCATCTATTTTCCTTATATTTCCAAAAGTTAGGATGATCTAGTTTCTACATTATTCAGTGTCAGATACAAATGAATGAGATCAAATCCCTTCTTTGCTCTGAACCTCCTCCATGAAGACAGCCACACTGTTAAATCATCTCTATTGCATTTCTTCACCACAAAGTACTGATATATTTCACAGGGACACAGCAAAGATTAATACAATAAGAGATTATGAAATAAATATTTTAGAAAAGGGAACCATACAAGGACTGTAAGGAGGTACAATACATTTAATCTGTTTTTGTTTTTTTTCTTTCTTCTTTTGGCGTTCAAATGCATGAGCAAGAACTTAATCATGTATGAAGTGTAAGAGACCTATGTTAAGCAAATCACAACCCCCAAAAAATTAATCACTGGTGTAACTTGACTGAAGTTAATGAAGCTGCAACCACTTAAGCCCAGTGGTGAATTTAGCCTTGAGTGCTGTTTCAACTCTCCCCCTTCCAACAGGAAGTTATTATGGTAAATTCATTTCAGCTCTAATTGTGTAAACAGATATTGCCTATATGAGCTGTCTCTAACAATTCACACATACTTTTGACTAATAGCTGTTAGAGAGGTTTTCTGAAGCACACAGTTACCAGTTTCCTCTTTATGGAATTTGAATGCTTGCAATACCTGAGCCTGTAAACAAAGATCTAATATGTTTCAGATCAGCTTTTCAAAAAACTATTATCAAGGTCACTTTAAGCAGATTCCATTTACAAAAGATCTTCCCATTGCAAAATCTCAACTATCACAAACATTAACAAAAACTCAATACTGTAATGTGGTAAAAACTAATTTCACTTAAAACCCAAAGTGAGCTTGTTTCAATGATACCATGTCAGAAGAAGTTTAACAGCCCATAGAGAAACTGAATGACTATTAGTTCTCCTTGTGTTAATGATGTTATATTTCAGTATTAACATAGTAGACTTCAACAGTCTTCCAGGAGAAAAAGAGAAATCCAGGTAAGAAACTAAGCAGTTCCCAAAACAACACTGGATAGAGCAATTTTAGAAGCCAACTCTTGCTAAGGAAGATCCTTCCTAGGATCAAATGTGTAAGCTCTGCATGGTGTATGTCACTTTATAAAATAAAGACATGAGTCAGTGAAAATGCCAAAATATTACTGAAAAACTGACAAACTTGTAATTTCAGGACAAGATGCACCCCAATTCGTTTATTTTGCCAAACTGAGTCAACTGTAAAACTGTAAAAGCAGAATGAACAACACCTGAACTATGATGCAGGTCCAGATGAAATGTTGGTCTGAAGTGATAAGATCATCATGCCCTAACTTAGAGGCTTAAAGCATATAAAATTCCAAGTTATAACCATTAAGAAAGAATCTCCAAAATGTACGTTATGAATTTCCATATTATTTCAGTAACATATTCATCAAGTGAACCTAAAAATCACTTTTAGTGATTTTAATGATTTTATTAAATGATTAAATCAAATTGATTAAATTTTAGTGAAAATTTTAATTTTTTAAAAATTAAGTAATTTTAAAATTAAATTTAATTTAAAGAAATTTATTTAAAGAAATGAGTAAATAATTCTAGTAGGTGCACTGGTGATTTTAGCCAGTGCTAAACCCACTACATCTTCCTAACATACTCATTTTACCAAGATAAAATGAATACCTAAAATGATTAATTTTATGTTTTTTCTTTATAAAAAGTTATTCTGAATTAATCTGAATTTGCCCTGCAGTGTAATATTAATGTTCCAGACAAAAAACCCAAGAAAATGATTGGCATGTACAGAGAAAAGCAGTGCTAAAGCTCATGTTCTAAGGCCACACATTAGCAATTCACTTGGGACAGGTGGAGCAGCGTATTGGAAAACAGTGGAAAAAACTTTACACTCCTAAGCAATTCAGTTCCAAAAAGGCAAGCACACAACAGAATAAAATTTGTCTACAGGAATCTCTGGCACTAACAGCATTTCACCTCTACACTTTCCTTATCAGTTAGCCTGAGAGTTTTGAGGACATCACAGTTATATTTTAAGTAGATTAATAAGGAAAAAAACTAGTAAAAAAATCGTTGGTCCAACGAGGCTCTCAAGCAAGGCAACATTTCAAAAGCCTCCCTGATAAAGACCTATGATGAGACAGACATACAAACACATGCTGTGTGAATTTAAGTTGGTAGAACATGGTCACCAGAATTCAGTGAAGAGAAATTCTGAGGGAAATAAACAGAAAAAGCATCTATTTGAATGTTTTTGCTCCTGCCCACAAAGGTTTAATAGCGCTTTTTTTTTTCAGGCACACAAAAAATATTTGCAGTAAATTTAGTGCTGATGAAAGATGCCAGATTGATAGCCCTAGGGACTGAGATTCTCTGTACACACAGATAAAGCACAGAGTGAGACAGTCTGTAACCTTGCCAAGATGCCTTATAATACACAGATTATGCAACCATCTTCACACTACAAAACCTTTCACCTCTCCACTGAAAATGTCAAAAATACTGCTCAGTGTTCATTAGAAGGAAAATAAAACATGGACAATGCTGTTAGCATCAACAGGGACAGAATTAAAGGCATCAGATCATTTAAAAAATATTTATTTTTGTTCTGAATGGTTCTTTTGTCAGCTGTGAACTTTGCTGCGGTGTTCGTAAGGCTGCAAAGTCCATCTTCACCTGGTATGAAAAGGTTTTCCTATTAAACAGCATGGTACTACATAAGAAAAAGAGCAAAGGAGTGGTTTAATTTTTTTATTCAAATAAGCTTATTCTAACATACATGACTACACACCTAGTGCTCAGAAACTCTCAAAGGTGAACTGACTTGATAGTTTCACTTAATTGGTACCTAGGTAGTCACTCTCCAGCGATCTGCACAATTGATCTAATTGACTTTCAATGGACAGTAACTCCGTATTAATCAGGTTTTCAGTGTTGGGCTGGAATCTACATTGTCACATGGAGCAGGCGAGCATCCAAGGAACCCTGGATTCTAATTTCCCTTGCTACTAATAGCTTGGCCAAACAGCAAAACTCCCCCCACTTCCCCAGCCACTGTCCTCCATCCAAATGTCAAGCCATTTTTAATTGTCAACAGAGGACATGTAGGAAAGAAGTAAGTTAAGGTTTATGTTAAGTAAGTTAATGGCTCTAAATACAAAACTGCTAACCTCCTTATAAAGGCAGACTTCCACTTCAAAGGAAGATATCCAACACAGCCTAAAGGCTGCAAACTCACTGAATCTCAAACCAGACCGTGTCAAAGGATTAAATGCTACTTCAGTTCTTGGGAGATTTCCCTCCTGCATATATGGGCTTGGAGTAGGGGACAGCAATGGCTAGAAAATATGCTAAAAGAATGAGGCTACTCTCTGATAGATTTTAAAAAAATAATTCTTCCTAGAGACTCTTTTCCTGAGTGTGCAATGCTTAGATAACTTTTGAAGAAATCTCTTACCACTCCTACTATTTTCCTTGGTCACCAACCAAAGCATTACAACAAAATTATTCAAGCATGCTTAATAAAATAAATGAAGACAATAATTCTGTAGCATCCTGCATCTCAGCAAAGGAGAGGCATTTATGCCAACTCAAGCATGGAGCAGGTTATTTTACTTTCACAAAAACTGAAGCAAATAGGCTTAAGTGATTCTTTCAGCTCTTCTGTAAAAGCATCTTCCATTTCTGTTGAAAGCTTTTTCTAAAATTCACATTAGAGGTGGTATTTGGTAACATGTAAACCTTTCAAACCTAATCTGTATTCTGAGTCTTTAAAGGAGACTCTAATGATAAATACCCTCTAGAAGGACAAGGGAAAAATACCGTCCTGCAAATTTTCATTCACATACTCATCGGGTTCTTTTCATGCAAGATAGAAATTTTGCCAAATTTGTACTTAAAATGATGTATGGGCATAAGAGTCTGAAAAACTGAGATCAAGACTCAGGTACTTCTACAATTTTCACCCTTACTTAGAAATGATTGCGAGTATTTACTATGGCTTAGTGGTTAACACATACCAAAAGAATACCAAAAGACTAACTTGAAAAATAAGCTTTAAATTGAGCCAAATAAAGGTAAATGCAAAAGGTAGAATCATTGGGGGAAAAAAAAATAAAAAAAAATAAAAGATCAAATCTCTTTACTATCTTTTTGACCCATACTACTAATCAGCTCTTTTGGTTCAAGCATAGGCTGGAATCCAAACAAACAGGTAACCCTTTTGATTCCCTCTGATTTATTTCAGGAAACAATAATTAGGAGGAAACAATTTCAGAGCACTCAACAATGCACATAAATTACAAAGACATAAGGTTGTATGAGGTAAGACTGTAAATTCAAATATTTGCATGTGGTGATAGCTGGATTAAACTAGAAAACATAAGCCACAATCAGCCATTCATGTAAAAATAACTGTTCAAATGTCCCTGTGATACACTTCTAAACAATTTTCTACATTTTAATTTCTAAATTAAAAAAGTATAAAACTTACCATTTTCTTATGGTTTCAACAGTTTGTCAAAGATAATGACCAGGTCATAAAGAGGTAGTCCGTTATGCATGAAAGATTCAGCATATATCTGGCAGTTCTAGCAGGGGGGAAAAAACCAAACCATGAGTTTAGCCCACAGACCTGTGATTCGATCCAGGCAAGCACAAAGCCAAAATAAATAAGATCATGAACAAAAGTGTATAATTTCTAGTGCATGAAGACTTGTCAGGGCATTTTGTCATTTGGATTTTATTAGCAAACACTCCTTTGAATAATCCCAGTTGCTCTGAACAGCCCACTCAAAAGTGACCCTAGCATTCCTGAGTCTTCCAACTGATAACAAAAATTTCCAAAATTCATTCATTAAGTTTAAAACTATACCTAACCTTTCTGTAGCCACAGCTGTCAATAAACTTCGATAAGGAATGCTGAATTAGGACGTTACTGAACACTTGTGCTAAGAAAACCAAGTTCCGCTTGATATTCTACAAGTCCTGCAAATTACTGAATTATCAGACTAATTAGTAAGAGAGGGAAAATGCTATTAAAAACATAAAGTCCAGTTTAAAAATGGATTGAGGTCTATCCCATCATCCAGCTGAACAATCTGTCCATTTCCCTTAAGGCACAGGGAAAACTATTAAAGCACTCAGTGTAAAAAGCCAAGTATTTAAAAATAAATTGCAGATATGAAGGACTGCTGCATTTGCTAAGGCATTTTTCTAAATTCAGCCCATCCATTCTTCGTGTCATATGTAGGTTTCCCAAAAACAGAACAACAAAGCCACGATTTTCTATCCCAATTTCTGTTTTCGAGCGATACAACAAACAAAATTACTTTGTTTAGTAAGTAGGGAAGTGTTAATTTCTCACTTCACAAGCAGAAGAAAAAGATACAAGAAATTAAGCAATTTACAGAAAATCATACAGAAAGTCTACTTCTGAACCATTAATTTGAAGACCAGTTGTACCCTGTGATTGCCAGATCCCTCTTGCCTCCTACACAAACGAGACAGGGAGCAGGGAAACGCGTTTGGGAGGATTCTCTCTTCCTTCCCCCATCACACTGCGGCCACTCACCCGCCACTGAAAGGCTTTCGCACAGCATCCCTGAAAGATGAACTCCACTTCGGCAGAACTTGAAAACGATGGTCTTAAAGTTATTTCTAGTTCAGGCACTGGGGACGTTGCCGAAAGGACAACGTCACCGCTACCGAAAATCACAGGTTTAGCCTAAACCGTAGTTGCAACGAGGTATAGAGCAGACAGAAGCTGGCAAGGACCGACGCCGTAGATCGGCCGGAGCAGAATCCTGCACCTGCTGAGGGCGGCAGGGCGATACAAACAACCCAGTCCCGAAGTGACTTATTTAGCTGCAGACGCGGAGATCAAAGACACCCGCGAAACACCCGGGCAAACCTCAAACTAAATACGTAGCTCCTGGGACCTCACCGACACACGGAGCACACATCGCTCCACGGGCGCCCGGCAGAGCGCTGCCCGCCGGCCCGAGCCGCCCCTCCCGAGCCGCCCGTCGCCTCAGCCATGTCTGTGCTCCGCGCCGGGGGCACCGCGCCGGGGGCAGGAGCCGCGGCAGGGGCACCTGTCCACCCCGGCCGAGGCGGGCACCGCGCCCAGCCCGCCCAGCACCGGCTCCTTCCCGCCGCCCGCCCGGCGGCCCTAACCCGCCCCTGGAGCGCCCGGTGGCGGCCGACACAAGCAGAAGGCGGCGGCGGTGCGCGGCACCGGGGGAAGCATCTCGCCCTCCCCTCCTCCTCCCCCTGCGGGTAAGCCGCTGTCAGCTCACCTCAGCTCCGCGGCGGCTCGGGCGGCCGGGACCCGCCAGCCGGCATGGCGTGGAGGCGCGGGGGCTGGTGCTGCCGCAAGCTGCCGGCGGTGCGGGGCGGGCACCATAGAGAGGGCGGGCGGCGGGAGGAGAGCCCTCCGACGGCGGAGCGGAAGCGGGCTGGAGAGGCCGGGCAGAGGAGGAAGTGACGCCCCGGTTGCCGCGGCGATCACGCACCCGGAGCCGGCAGCGCGGCGATGCTGGCGGGCCGGGCCCCGCTGGGCGCCGCGGGCTGCGGCCGCCTGCTGGCAGCGGGGCTGCGCCCGCTGCTCTGCGGGCTGTCGCCGTGCTGGATGACGGCGGGGCGGCAGTACCCGGCCCTGCGGGTAGCGGAGCCGGGGAAGGAGAAGCGGCTGGTGCGTAAGGAGCAGCGGAGCAGCCTCGTGGTCCGTCGCTTCATCGCCTGCCCGCAGCTGGCGCGCACCGTGCGGCGCTGCCTGAAGCGCGGAGCCGGCCCCGGCCCGCAGCCCCTCCTGCTCGAGTTCGCGCCTGGTGAGCTGCCCCGAGGCTCCGGCGCGCCCCGATGACCTTGGGGCGTCAGTGCGAGCTGCCGCCTTCGCCACCGGCCATGCTGGCAGCCCGGCCCCGCCAAGCGCTGCTTGTGGTGCTGCTGCGGAAAGGGGCTGGAGCTCGGCCTCTCCCGGGATTTCGGGCGGGGGCGGCAGCTGCATTGTGCTCCGGCGCTGCCCCGGCTGGGAGCTGTCCCGGACCCGCGGCCCGGCACCTTCCCCGGACACGTGGGTGTGGGCCCCGGAGTGTGCCTGACGGGGTCCATTTCTGCTGAGCTTGGGGAGAGAGTGAGGGTGCAGTCTGCAGGCTTGAGTCACTCGTGTTAAAACTTTCTGTAGAGTGACTAGAGATGTCATTTTCTGTTAGGTAGTACTTTGATTTTGTGGGTGAACTTTATCAGTAACAGCACATCCAGGATTACGGGCTATGGCAAAACCTCTGCAGTTACCTAATGATTGAGGTTTGGGTTTTTTTGTTTACATTTCTGCAGAATGTATTTTAAGGATAATATGGGTAAGGTTTCACAGTATATTACAGTTGGCAGAAGAAAAAAAATAATAGAAATATTTGAAACGTTATTTCCAGTGCTGGTCAGTATCTAATTTTAATGCTGTTATTAGTGTAATACAGTGAGAAATCTCGGGCAGGCTGCCTGTAAATCATTTCTCTAACTCTTGTTTTGAAGTGTGTTTAACAAGCACAAGCTATCTCATGTTGAAGGTGATATGTCCTAAGTGTTGTGTTGGGGAAGTCACTAAAGGAAATCACTTGGAAACAAGGAGGCACTTTAAAATTTATTTATTTAAATTTTATTTATTTTTTATTTTCCTATTTCAGGTCCTGGAATTTTGACTCGATCTCTGCTTGATGCGGGTTTTAGAGTGGTAGCTCTGGAAAGTAACTCAGATTTTTTTACAGATTTACAGGTATGCTTTTGATTCAGTTTCACATTTATAAAAATAAAAGGGAAAATGAGAAATTAGCTTAAATTGTTATGTAATTGTTGGATCAAAAAGGTATTAGGCAGTGATTGTAACATCTGACATGATGTCTAATAACAGTATGTAGTTTGGTACTGTACATCACAAATGCAGAATGTTTTTTAATTTTGCCATCTTGTGTATGTGGGAATTCAAGTTCATACACAGTCTTTCTATGCATAAATTTGAAACTAATCGGAGTCATTGTAGATGTTTATGTTTAAGCAAGAGTTCTGTAGGAAGTTGTAAGAAATCTGTAAAAATATTCTTAGTTATTCTGATTATCTCACAGTTTTATTTAATCTATTGTCCTACAATTGATACTTACATATGTTGTCCTCTCCTGCTTCTCTGGGCTTTGCATGGATTCAAAGGGGGTCAGACACAGAGCTGCACAAGTTGCTCCAGAAGGTTTGCATTATAGTGCTGGTTTGAAACCAGTGACTCTCACCTGACTTAAAATGTGTATGAAAGGTATCCTCTCCACAGATATGAAGAATTCTAGTTTTAAATTGTTAAAATAAGTGGTTTGTTTAGTTGAGTATAGTTGTTTGTTTTCTTAGAAACATTGCAGAACATCTTACTAGTTTAAGAATGTGGTTTAAAGCTCAAGTTGAACAGCACAAAAAAATGTCAAAATGCCCTGCACAGTGAAGGGGGCAATTATTTTTATCAGCTGAAAGAAAGAAGCTATTATTTTTATTAGCTGTAAGAAGCAGCTCTGGGGTTTGACTCTTGTTGATCAGGTAACAATTTTAGGTAATGCATGAACACTTTTTTTTTTTTTTTGGGTTGGATGTTTTGCAAAACTAGTTACCATATCCAGATTTCTTCAACTAAAGTTATTTTTATTCAGTCCCTAGAGAGTAGCCTGGATGGGCAGCTAAAGGTGATTCATGGTGACTTCTTCAGACTGGATCCTTTGGCAAAGGGAGCTTTGAAACCACCTGCTTTGTCTTCTGACAAACTTTTTGAAACCATGGGCGTAGCAGCAGTTCCTTGGAGGGCAGGTATATGTTTATGATCCCACATGTTACAAACACATGTTTGAGGCGTGCATAGGCAGTTTGGCAAAATCTTTGGGATTTGCTTGAGGTATATGTTCTGTTTAATACACATGCTGGATTAATGGATACTGTTTTATACATTTCAGCTTTTCTTAAGAGTCATGATAGCTTCAGAACGCCCCCTCTCCCTTCCCCCCATGACAATATCAGATAATTAGGTATTTTCTTGACATTTAAAGTTTTAGTCTAATGCAAACTAGGCTTAGCTTTGACTAAAGCTTGTATGATATTCATTCTTGAACAACATGAACTCACAGACTATCTTCTCTTAATTGTTTGTAGTTTAGACATTAGAATTAATGAGAATGTCTAATACATACCGCAAAATTTTAAAGATAACTTTGCTATTGTGTGAAACAGATGTTCCTTTGAAAGTTTTCGGAATTGTTCCACAACCATTGGAAAGAAACAGACTTTGGAGACTTCTTTTTGCCATGTATGAATGCAGCTCCATATACAAATACGGAAGAGTAGAACTCAACCTCTTTATAAGTGAAAAAGAGTACACGGTACGTGCAAGGCATTTTACAGGTAATGAAGGTGTAGTGCTTCAGAGAACAAAAACCCATTTATATTGTATACTTAAGGTTTTTGCTAGCAAAATTTTTTCTACCCCAATTTTTAAGTACTGTCACGATCCTACTTGTTTGCTTCATGCAGTGATAGATAGCACTGTTAAGAAACATTCTGTTGTCATATAACCACAGATATTACAAATGTGAAATCTGGTCCTTGAGAAGTATATGCAACAGCAGACTAGCTATTTTCCATTGTAAATTGTGAGGTGATTAAATTCTGTGCCATGCTTTTGCAACAAGTTTGTTTACTAGTTACAGGTAATAGTTAAGGAAGACTGAATTCAAAACACGAAAACACAAGTGAAGAGGATTCTGAGTCACTAAATACCAATACAGTGAGATGCACTTGTCCTCTTGAGTTGTTTTGTATGCAGTACTGAAAAGAATAGAGGCAAAATATAATGATTTACAGTCCTTTTCATTAATGCCCTGTTAACTAAAGTGCAGGACCTTTTCCCGATTACATATTCCTAATTTATGCTGTTCCAGAGTTCTAGAACTGTACTTACACTACAAGGATGCCTTTTTTCCCTCGTCCCCCCACCCCGAAACTGGGAGGTTTGTACAGAGTCATAAACCTTTAATTACTTGAAGTAGACAAGGACTTCCAGGTCTGCTAACACAACCAGTGTTGTGTCTAACCCCACTGAAAAAAATTAAACGCTTTAAGTATATTCTTCTGTGAAATGACAAGTTGGACACCACTGAAATATCCACTTTTATATTATGTTTTAATGGTTAGATTTTTTTACTAAATAAAGGGCAGCCTATTCATTTTAGGCACTCTCTGTTTCATGTTTGTATTTTTTTATTTTATTTTCTGGTTATAATGTGAACTCTGTTATGTAAGAGTTGTGTAGTAAAAGCTATTGGAACCTTTTTTAAGTAGGCATTGTTGACTCCTTTTTGTTGGTTGTTTTTGCTTTTTATCGTATGACAAGGCTGTGTATATCTATTACATGAAGTTAAATCTCCCTACTATGATTTACTTCTTTCCTTGTCTTTTGTGAGAATAATCACAAGCTTTTATTTTTTTCTTGCCCTAAGAGTTGTTTGATTTGTTTGATCCTGACATTGATCAGGATGATGGCTGTGCAAGTTGCTTAATGTTCAGTGAGGTCACCTGATGTTTTACTTACTATGCTTTGTATGCCTTCTTGGTAATATTATCTTATCAGTGCAAGCTGATAACTCTACTGAAGTTACCATTTTTGTATGAAATCTGATCCTTATTTCTCTTCTGTGTGAAACTTCTCTGCCTTAAAAGGGACCACAGAGTATATATGCTGGAGATTCACACATAGTTCAGTTATCCAAATAACTGCTGTGAAGAAATACTTGCAATATTACAATGTCTTTTATACATTACTTAGATAAAGACAGTCTTGGTTTCTGCAACAAAAATGTTTGCTCTTTGCCATTTTTTTAGATATTAACAGCAAAGCCTGGAAAGTCAAAGATTTATCAAGCACTCACTGTACTTGCACAACTAGGGTATGAAATTGAACTACTGCATAAGGTAAGAATTTTGTACCAGCCGACATGGCCTAATGCTATGGATGTGCATTTAGAAAAGGGTTTATAGTGGTTTACTGTGGCAAACTATTTGGAAGCTAATTTGATGTTTAAATCAGTTGGAGAACAGTTGAAAACTTTTTAAAAAAGCTAAAATAGTCATGTTTTGTGTACAATTTTTTCAATTAAGCAACATTGTTATTCACTATGATGTCAGTGTTTTCACTGCAAGCCATTTTACTCAAACACATTTATTTTCAGAAACTGGTAGATAAAAAAGAGAGGTTTACAAAACAGATAAACCTTTTCCATTTTGCTAATGGTTGTGTGAAACTAGAAGTCTTCTTTTCCAATCTGTCATACTCTG